GGTAACACCGAGTAACAGTGTATTTAGCCTGATGGCTTGCCGTTGGCAACCGACGAGAACCACCGCCCTCCCGAGGGTGCAATGGTAACTGATCGATTTCCGTACCGCCTCTTCCCGCACCCAGTGTTTTCTAGTGACAGGATACAGTCCATGCGCAGATGCAATAGCTGACAACGAAGTGAATCGTCTACGCGTCCCATTAGAACTGGTTGCGTCTTCCATCTGTCATCGAGGAGCGATAGTACAAAGAACACGCTGAAGTACCATTGCAACACGGCGGTGAACGTTTTAGGGGCCAACGCTTCAGGCAACCACTACAATTGTGCCATAGTAACTGAAATTAAATCTATTATGACTGAGATTTTTTCTTTAAAAGTGTTAGGAGGACCCTAGCAGACGGCTATCATACAGGCAGCGAGCCGCACTTGCGGTAGACTATCGGTCGGTCTGCACGCGGCGAACGGATACTGGTAGTCAATCAATCAATAATTTAAAATTTAAGCTACAGCCAGCTGCTGAGTCACAAACCAATCGCGTCGCTACCCACGCCAGGACAGAAGCTGATTGACCCGATGGACATAGCGTTACACACGTTTGTTGCCCCAAATATGCTGTACCAATAGCGTTCAAAGACTTCTGCTTTTGCCCCCTTCTTGTCGTGTTCTTCCTTGGGGGCTCACACAATACGTAACTAGGCGTTTACACCCCGAATTTGGCTACCGTAACAACAAAAAGTACCAAATAATGTCCTTATGCAACTTACATACGCGAGATATTCAGGGGGAGTTAGCAGGAAAAAAAACACTGCAATTTTTTACATACTTTAAATGGTGCGGTTTGACCACTTCGTCCCAGGGAAGGCATAGTGGCGGTCGGCAGATTGATCTCAATCAACTCTCCAATGTAGGAAGATCAGTGTGCCGTTAAGGTATACACGAGGAAGGTTGGTTACATTCAGGGAGTAAGGTAAGCTACCGATCCGAGCTGAAATTTCCTATTCCTCGTGCACATTGGTAGTCCGATTCAAGCTGACCAGAGGAGTAATTAGGCGCAGTGACCGACAGCGTGGAGTTTCGCTTATCGCGTGCTGCAAGTGAATGTAAATGCACGACAGTTCGATTGTCTTGCAAGGTAGTGTCCGCAGTATGTCCCAAAGCATGGTCGGCACAGGGGCAGTGAATTGCGCGTGTAGTACCTCGCAGTGGTAGTTGATTTGTGCAGCGTCCGTCGCACTCACTTTCACCCTTAACCACCTCAGCCTGGTGTCAAGACGGAGAAGGGATTGGACGCATTTGTTGGCTAGGCTAAATAGCCTGCCTACGAGAGTCACACACGTCCGGTCCGCGTATGGTGGATCGGATTTTTACAGGGACAAGTACTCGGATTCAATCAGAGTAGCGGTGCCATGTAAGCCACACTAACAGGTGGCCATTGCAGTTAACCTGTTAGGTGGCAGCTTTTCGGTCCACAACCCTAATATAAACCTTCCTCTCCATACCGAAGGCCGGATGACTTCGGTACTTTCTGTGTCCTCGTAAATATACTGTAGGTGACTTAAGTCCTGCAAAGTCCTAATCGAAATTAGAGTTGGTAGTTTAGCGTACACTTGGTCTTGCTTTTTTGATCTTTTGAGTAAATTTGATGCTTAGATAGCCTTTCAGTAAAGAAAACCGGATGTTAGTTCAACCTACTGTGTGTGTTTACAAATATGATCCAGATGGCCATCTTCATTAGAAAAAATACCCCAAAACTCATTTTTCGGTATATGCTTTTAACAAATATCTTAGTTCGAAGGTGTTAATAAGCATATCGAACAAAATCTAAATTTATGATAAAACGTGAAATATGCGCCAGATCATCAAGGACAACCTGAAATTGTTACCCAAAACCAGAGATATCTTTTAATAAACTGGACAAAACGAACTGTCTTTTAATACACACAAAATGGCACGTTTACGATTTCAGCACTAGTTTATTGAGGGAAGGATAGGAGAATGCTGCTGAGCTCCCAGTTGGCAACAAGGTGGCTAAGAAATGCATGGATGCAAAAGAGAAATGGAAAGAAATTACTTCAATTACATGCTTGCGAATGAAGAGCAAAAAGCTATCGGAGTCGAAATTGTAATAAATACGGCTACTGATTTAGCATGAGTAGTATAATAAGTAGGTGTAATAATTATGTTTAATTAGTATGCGTAATATTCTTCCTCATGAGTCAAATTTACACTGGTGAAAAAATGTTTCGTGCATGCCCAGTTTGGTCTTAAATGTGGTCACACAGGTGGAGAGGACAACCTTTTCGGGAAGAGCATTCCACGATGCAACCACTCTGTTAATGAAGAAAAATTTATGTACATTGATCCTTGTCTTGCCGCGACGTAATTCAAGAGGATGACCGCGCAAAATGGACGTGCTAGCTTGGGTAAAAACATCATTGGGAAAAAACAGCTATCTAGGCCATTAGTATTACGGAAAGTTAGTATAAGATCCCCTCGGGGAAATAAGTTGAGGGTTGACAGTCTCCTTTCATAGGACGGTCTTCCCTGACCATTGTTCCTCGCCTCTGGACCTTCTCTAACAAGGAACAGCCTGAGACAGTCAAGGGTCTCCATGCCTGTATAGCAATTATGACAATCATATTGACATATATTCATTGGTCACAGTTGCAGCAAGTTTTCATCTTTTCGGAACTCGAGGATTCTTTACAGAAATTGGTATTTCTAACCTAACTATTAGTACTTTTTATATTACCTCTAAGCTTTACATTTGCTTAAGGTTGTCAATTATTATTATTATTTGTTTGTGCACCGATCTATTCCTTAGAATGTGCACATCCTGGGTTAATGCTTTTGCGAGTCGGTTCAACCGACTGTGTTCCGCAAAGCTACTAATAATTGATATGTTACTAGCCAACTGTTAATTATTATTTCAAAGTTTTCATGCATCCCTTGATGTCGGTTTGCGGAGGATTACCAATTTTTCGCAAGCTTCGGCGATTTGTATAAGATACAACCCATACTATGGGCCACACCGTCTGGGAAAAGGTGGCTGGCCGTCACGGTTTAGAGGGCTATAAGGGAAACAAAGGGTTCCTATTACAAGCAAGTGCGCAACTCACGCCTCTTAACATGAAAAAAAATTTCGCGCCTGCCCAACTCTTAATTATCCAGTCTAAAACAAAATTAGGTCTTCGGGCATGCGCCCACAACGATAAATAGACGGACTGGGAGCATGAAGTAATCATTCTTAGGTCCGATTGACCAGACTTTAAATGTTAACTGTTGCTCTCTTCCATTACTGATAGTTTGGATCCTAGATGCCCTAAAACCCTTGGGCGCGGGCCAGTAAACTATATTTGACGATGTTTATCTCTTTCTTTCCATCCCCTTTTCGAAAACTAATCATTTTCAGCAACAAGCAATCGCCAAAACTTCAGCGAAGGTTCAGTGCGCATAGAAAAGTTACTACGCTTCAGCCCAGTATCCCTAAACGTCAGCAGGTATTGTTTAAGTAGAGTCAACTTGTAAGTAATGGACAAGCGGTCAGCCTTGCTAGAAGAGGTTTTTTCTTAAATTGGAGCCACTCCTTTTCGGGTCAACTTCAGTTTCTGATTAGGAAGCGGGAAAGATAAAATTGACGCTCATAGGTACACGCGATGGACATCAGAAATTGCAAATCCCGGGAGAAGAACTTTCAGACATGAAAATTTACTCAGTAAAAACATTAGTATATACAGGATTTAACATGGAATACAAAAACTAGTCACTGTCGCCTTCATCGCTGATCCTGGCCTTTTTGCGTATTGGTGTGTCCGAAACCTATAAAAGTAGTACAAAAACCGTAAGGTTACATGCGGTTCACTAATGCAGCAAAATTTTTAAAAAAATGTGAGCTGTAAAACGAGCGAGTAACCATAAGAGAAACTGTCAAGACTTAAAAACTTACATCGGAGCCAGAATCGTCAGATGAGAGCGCGGAAAGACCTGAAAGCAAAAGCAATGAATTAGCATACGCTTGCTAATGTGAAGATAGTGCAATCTTGACTTAACAAAGACTGAGTACAGTCGAATGCTCTTACAACCTTTGATTTTCCATGATTACATTTTCTGAAAAAGATGGCAGTTGTAATCGACCGGACAGCGGATTCTTAGTTCAATGGTAGAGCGGATGACATTATAAAGTTTTATTATGACAGAATGTAGATTAGACTCCTAGATCTCGCAAGCTAAGGGCTAGGTATGGCTGACTAAGAACGGCAAATAGACCAGAAATGGCTATCTCAGTCTCCTTAGTCTTCATTGGAACTTTCAGTCTGCATCTGAGAATCACGATTCTGGAAGAGTTCTCGGGACTCGCGCAGAATTTATAGTCGACGACGACCCGTTGGATCAAGAGCCGTAAAAACGAG